CTGTATACCTTGTGTGAATTTGAACCTTGTGAAATTCTTGACAGGCAAAATTTCTGTATAGTGAGCACAATTGAGCTGTGAATCAATCAATCTAAGATTGTTCAAGGTGTCAGCTTTGTAAAACAAGCTGCACACTGATCGAGAGAAAAGAACAATACCTAAGATTGTTCAAGGTGTCAGCTTTGTAAAACAAGCTGCACACTGATCGAGAGAAAAGAACAATCTGAAGTAATGAAGATTGTAAAATATAAGTTCGATAAGAGAAAAAGAGTTAAGATGAAGAACAACGATTTACTCTTATAGAACTCTAATACGATGACATCATTACAATCTTACATAACCAAAAGATGAAGTAATCAAAGAAAACCATAAGCGCATGAAAGAAGAGACGCGCTGAGATTACCAATCTCAATTCCCCCCCATCTTTGATACATCATTCAAACCCATCAATTCACAGAACTTTCGATGTTTCATTAGCGCTAAAGCTTTTGTGAAAATATCCGCAATCATGTCGTCCGTAGGAACATAATTCACTTTGAGTTTCTTGTCTGCTACAACTTCCCTAAGCCAATGATATTTCACATCCACATGTTTAGTTCTTGACTTAAATTTTTCATTTTTCGAGAGTGCAATAGCTCCTTGATTATCTAAATTTAAAATAGGTGTATCTTGCTGATTGATTTCTAAATTATTTAATAGATGATTAAACCACACAATGTCTTGACCGCCTTCGTATGCTGCTCTATACTCCGCTTCTGTTGTTGAAGTAGCCACGTTCTCTTGTTTCTTACTTTTCCAATTCACAGTACTATCACCTAACATCGTCACATAACCGCCGGTTGACCTCCTAGTATATGGACACGCAGCAAAATCCGCATCTGCATAAGCCTTTAAATCTAAACTCCTACCTCCCAACACAATACCCATTCCTCTAGTTCCACTTAAATACCTTAATACACGTTTGAAAGCCTGCCAGTGATGAATGGATGGACTATTTAGATGCTGCGATAATTGAGACACGACAAAAGACAGATCAGGTCGTGTTGCGTTGTTTAGATACATTAGCATACCTACCGCGTGTCGATAATTTTCATCTAAGTCATTAAACTCCTTTATTTCTTCTTCAGAACCGGGAATTAAGTAGGTGTTTGGTACCATGGGACATCCTACAGGTTTGCTTTCCAACATTCCGTACTCGTACAATAAGTTGTGAATGTACTGAGTCTGAGTTAAAGTGATAGTTTTGTTGATGCGATCTCTGGTGACTTTCATTCCCAAAATATATTTGTAATCGACATCTTCATCCATTTGAAATCTCTCAGTGATTAGTCGACGAAACCTACCAAAGTCATTACTAGCAATCGTCATGTCATCTACGTGCACATGTACGATACACTTCCACAAAGGATCGCTAGAAATAAAGAGACTAGGATCTGAAGTTGACGGTAAGAGTGAAATTGACTTGAAGAATAGTTTTAAGCAATCGTACCAAACCTTCGGTGCTTGCTTCAATCCATATAATGCTTGCTTAAGTTTAAAACACTGATTTTGATGTCGCGCCTTCAATGACCAACCCCTTCGGAATCTTCATATAGATAGTTTCTTCAGGAGACCCATTCAAAAATGCCGCTACCGCATCCATCTGATATACATCTAAGTCATCTACAGCAGCCATGGCATTGAGTGTTCTTAAAGTTGCGAGTCTTCCCGTCGGAGCAAAGGTGTCGTTGTAATCCTCTCCATATTCTTGAGAGAAACCTTGCGCGCACAATCTTGCTTTAAACTTGATTAATTCGCCATCACCCCCCATCGTCTTTTTAAGTACCCAGGTAGTTCCAATTGCATTCTTCCCTTCTGGTAAGTCACAAACCTCCCATACCTTTCTTCGATCCATATTTGCAAGTTCCGTATCAATAGCGTTACGCCAGTCAAAATGATTGTCAGATTTCAGAGCTTGTAAGTACGTTCTTGGATCCATGTCAACCTTTGCCACCCTAGCAGTTATCTTGGACGGTTCAGACTGTTGCTCAAACATCAAAGAAATGTCATCTAACCTTTTGTTCACGTTCGCAGCTTCCATCGATGTTTGACACGCCAGTTTGGCCCATTTTTGTTGAAGTTGACGCTTGACACGACGTTTGATAGCGTGCGATCGGTGACGTTTCGAATCTGGTGGCAAGATGTTTGCTTCATCGATAGCGCTGGTGATATCATGTATCGCTGGTATCGAAGATGATTGCCAATCCCAGGAGTGTTTGACTGGCACGATTGGAAGAGGTATTGGTGGATTTGGAATCTCAGGCACTGGCTCAATTTGCATTGGAGAAACATAAGGTACAATTTGATTTGATGACTCTTGTGTCTCAAGCTGCCTTACCAACTGGTTGTCATCCTCTATCTGTAAAGGAACTTCAGGTAAGATGTCAGGATGATGGTCTTGACCAGGCGAACGAATCGGGGGTGTGCTAGGTGGTGTGTCAACTGGTGTTGTTGTTGAGTTAACGGAGGTACTGGGAGAAACTGTTGGTGCCACATCCTCTGACTCAGTGAAATCGATGATGTCAGCACTGCGTCCACCAACTCCCTTCTTGACGTCGAGAAGGGTAGAATGTCTTGATTTGGTTCAACTATATTCCAACTTTATTGCGGGTTAGTTCCACTACTGAGTATCCCACACTGCCAGCATTAAAGAGGTTCCCAGATGGGAATATGGGTCCTAGTGATCAGATTCCCATTCTGCTACTGTTACACAGTTCCATGAATATTGCCTGAGTAGCCATTGTGATATATGTAGTCAATATTTTGAAATGTGTGTCTCAATCTGAACAAAGTTACAGCATGTATTACACATGATTTCCTTATCTAGATGAGCAGATAACTGAGCGGACCTGTATGTAGCTGATAGCTAAGGATTTACTCAGATGTTTGCACATATGTAGTGTATGCTTTATGGCTCAGATGTGCAGTGCGAGATGATTTGATGCTCCATTCTTCTCTCAATGATATTCCCAGCCTAGGTCATGTTCCGACCAGGGAACCTATTTAATGCTGGCAGTGCCACTCAGCATAGACTGAGAGATGCATGAGTGATTGATCGGAAGCCATTGAGCCTCAGGGAATTCCTCAGAAGTTAGATTCTTTATGATCCAACCCTTTTGACCAACACATGAACTCAAGTTCAAGTTCATCAACTTGATTCATCACCGTCGCCTAAAAAATCCTTCATGAAATCAACTTGATTCAAAAGAATACCTAAACCAATTAATCAAATTAATCAATCAAATTCCTTTCTTCGCAAATCTCAAAACACTTTCTTATTAATTTTTTTTATAAAGCATATGTTTTCTTGTAGTTGTACCCCTTTATCTTATCTCACTGGCTTTTTCTTTCTTGTAGAACCTCAAACTGGACCTCATTCGAACTTAAGTCCTCTTCGTCCTCCACCTCAGCTTGTTCAAGAATATACAGCTCAACAAATTGCAGATGAAGCAGCTGCTAATAAGATTGTAGATGAAACGGTTTGGTTCGTATTCTCATCTCTTTAATCTCAGTATCTCCTTTTTCGGGATCAAAGTCACTAATGAGGTGCTTCTGATGATTCTTTTTAGATGTTTGGTTCATGTTTATTCTCAGGCTCCATTCTCACATATTAGCATAGATTCTCAAACACAAGATAGATCTCATACTCCAGATGGTTTGACTACAACTTGGCGAGCTTATGATCCTCCCACTTGTCCTCCAATATCTCCCAAGATTCATTGACTTCGATCAGGTTATGATCAACCACCATTATCAAATTAATCAAATCAAAGAACAAGAATTGATCAGAAACGAAGCTATCATAGTCTAAAGACAATGGTCAATCATGCCAATGCCAATCAATCTGAAACTACCCCTTCTGATGATACCACACCTCCAACTCGATCTGATTCAACACCAGATCAATCTTCTAATCTTTCTTCATCATCTCAAGACCTTCAATCTCATTCACAACACCTTTGAGATCCAACAGATGCAAGTGATTATCAATGTGATACTATGACTTCCTTTCAAACTGATTTAGAACATACTCCTTCTCATGAACCATCTGAATCTCAACCATCTCATTCACAACCACCTGAATTCGTTGGCAAGCTTTGGCCTAATTTTCATACCACCTTACCTTTTCAGGATCCCTCCGCACTCGAAAGAAATGGATTTGTACGCCCTTTCCTACTCATCCGTTCAGCTCCAGATTGATTGATGTCATGATCATTTTTTTAGCTCACCGACAATCCTCAAGATCTTTGAGCACTTCTTGAATCGGGATTTACGTTGAAGGACTCAGGTCCAATCCTTGTTGATCTATAATCATCTCTTCTGACTCAATTCATCTTATTCCTCATCCTTATATATATTTAAATTACCTCTTTGGAAGATAATTTGAAGATTTTAGGACGCTTAACATATCCCTCAATTTGTATGGCTTAGTTGCAAATCAAATTGCTAGTAACAGCATCATTTTTTTGTATTCTCTCTCTCTCTTATTTTTGGATGGTGTTTCTTTTCTCTCTTTCTTATTATGTTATAGCTATCATTTGGAGAGTTATCTTGAACCCTTGCTATATAATTAATCGTAAAACCTTATAATGTGTATCATTAGCCAGTCTTCCATTTCATGAGAAGTGTGAAAAGTCACAATCCATGAAGTCAGGTGAGAGGAACCCAATTGTCAACAAAAGGGCAATGGTTTAGTTTGTTCAAGATGGAAAGCTAAATATCTAAAAGTTTTGTGATGATTTAACAACTTTGAAAATCAACTAAATAGTCAGGTGATCATTATTCAACCGTTTGATGATTTTCCTCTGTTGACCTCAAGACTAGTGTCAACAATGAGATCTGATCGGAAGACAAAAAAATAAGTGAAGAGTTAGACAATCAGGTCACCTCATTGAAATGTGGTACGAGATTTGATTGGAATCAGCTACCCTTCTAAAAACAAAGCACACACCTATGATGGTCTATTTCTTATTCGAAAACCGACTTAAAGCATCAACTGGTCCACTTGGTGTTCCGTAAGAGGTTTCTTTAGATTTCAAAGTAGCCGTTTGTTGTTTACGTAATGCAATCTTAGCTCGAAGTGCTTCCTAAAGTTATCAAAAGAAGAAGAATGATATCAAAAGTCAGTCAAGCTTTTTTTCTACAACTTAAAGATGATAATTTAAATCAACTTACGGCTTCAGGTGTGATCACATTCTTATGTTTCTTTCGTAAAACTCGTTTCAAACTTGAATTTTTACCTCTCATCTTTTTCTTTTCTTTCTCCTTGATCGGTACTGAGATTCCTGTAGATTGATCCTTCATTCCATTCTGTTGAACAACATCATCATCAACATCTAAGATTTCTTCTTCACCTGATTTTCCTTGTGCAGCTTCTAGTTAATGTTCTCCAAGGAGTAGGTTTATGATTTCCTTTTAATGGTTTCAATTCATCTGATTCTTTTAAGATAGGATCAGCAATACTACCAACCATTTCAGGATTCAAAGTGATCAAATCAAATGGAATCTTATCCAACAATCCTCTAACTTCTCATTCTCTTTTACGTGATTTGTTTTCAAATGGATCGGCTTTTAAACTATTGAAATTAGCTTCACCTGAACCTGGGATAATCAAACTACTAAACCCTCCACTATGTCCAACACCTAAAACATCTTCAAATGGACAAAATTGGACTTGTTCAATCGTTTCTGATGGAAATCTTTCTTGCATATGAGTTCGTTTTCGTTTTTCATTTCGACCTATACCTGAATAAATCGACACATTTGATCCCCATCCGACTGCTAATAAAGTTTTTTGTGACCAATTCAAAGTTTCTGCTGGGTTTTTTGATGTCCATTCATTTAAAGTTAGGTCGTCTTTATACTGCGACCTGATCGTGATGCTTCATGTCCAAGCGGCTGACTTCATTCTTGGGCTCACTTGCGTGTAAGAGTTTTGGCCATAAATCGCCTGCCGGATGATAGGCTGCACTGATAGAGGTAGTTTATTGTTTGAACTGAGTAAACGCCAGGTACGTCGTAAGTAACTTCACCTCGTTTGGAATGCATCCTTCGGAGGAATATTGATTGAATGGGGTCCAAGGGGGGAATCGTTCAGTTGAAGAAAATCAGGCGGCACGCTGATGCGCAGGTCTGAGCTGTCCAGGTTTGCAAATAGCTTAGGCTGCTTAGGGCTGCTTAGGGTTGCTGAGGTTTTGAATGAGTGGAAGAAACAATTTTTTTGAAAAGACCTTTCTTGCACCAAACTCCGACCATTCTACCCTTCTCGACATCGAGAAGGGAGGTGGTGGACGCAGTGCCTATTCCAAAACTCTTGGACATTTTCAAAATAGAGCTTTTGTATGGAGGTAAATCTGGGGAACGAACTCATATTCCAGCAAGAGATCAGCACATGGTGTAAAATGAGGAGTAAATTCTTTCATTTCAACTTGTATTCCAAAATTTGTTGCTCTTAAAAATTCCAAAAAATTCCAAAAATACTTTGCTCACAAAATTATCATCTTCACACACGGGGCATCAGTCTCTTCTGCCAGTTTCTTGCTGGAATCATACACAGATAGAGATAAAGAACATGTCCTTTCATCATGAACGTCCACCACCCAAGGAAATTCATCTTGGCGGGCTTCATCCTTGTCTAGTTTGGCTGGATCCTTGCTGGTAGCTGAATTTTTGGCATAGGTTGCGGGTGTTAAAACATGGAACATATTAAGTTTCTGGAAAGATCCTCATGTGAAAAGGTGAAGATAAACAAACCAATGACTGTTCTGCTTTGATATTGTCCAGCACGCTCAGATGATCTGTGACCAAATGCGCTCATAGTACCTTGCGGCTCGTTGGGCGGTACCATCTTGACTGCATGATTTTCCTTGATTACACCCAGGGCTTCAGAGTGTTGCTGCATGATCTTGATAGCCCTTTGAAAGTCTTTCCAAAGTTTCACTTCTGCAGGGTCATTGCTGGCGGGGTCCTGCAGCAAGAATTTTCAGCCATGTGAAAACAACATAAAGCTTGAGGGACTTGACCTCTTTGTTGAACCTAGCAACACATATAAGCTTATTTCCAGCCAGATTCACAAGTAGAACAGTTCCATAGGTCACTACTTTCTCTTTCCTGTCCCCAAATTGAGGAACTTGGAAAACATCACAGTCCTCTGGCAAGCCAAACCGGTCTTTGATTCCTGCTTTAATCCTTTGACTGACACATTCTCTTTGAACATCCCGGACTGGATCCCGTTTGGCATTGTGTTGTTGAGCCTTCTTCCTCTTTTGGTACTCCGTAAGCTTTTGCTTTCTGAGGTCTGATACTGGTTTTGGCATCTATGTAAAAAAAACATTGTTTTGATTAGTGGAATGCTCATCAAAAAATCAAGATTTCTTAATTTGTGTGGGGATGCAATGAAATAATGAATAAAGTGAATAAACAATGAGTGATTGAATATTTGATGGATTGAATGATTGAGTATGAATTAAATGAATATATAAATTTATGAATAATTGTTTGAAGGAATGATTGATAAAGTAATTTCTTGAGGATTGAAATCAGGAAGCACCGAGATACATTTAGCAAAGGGTTAGGCTGGTAGTTGGGGGTCCCCTCGGTCACTTGCCCTGCCCTTCACAAGACATAAACATCTCTGCATGTATCTCAAGTACTTCCGTCTTCCATGAGTCAATGTGAATAACGGTGAGCTGTAAATCATTTGATATAAGTTAATTTGCATTTATGAATGATTGTTTGAAATAATGTTTGATAAAGTCATTTCTTGAGGAATGAGATGAGGAAGCACTGAGATACATTTAGCAAAGGGTTAAGCTGGTAGTTGGGGGTCCTCTCGGTCACTTGCCCTGCCCTTCACAAGACATAAACATCTCTGCATGTATCTCAAGTACTTCCGTCTTCCATGAGTCAATGTGAATAAGCTTGAGCTGTAATTTTTTTGAATTATATGAGTCTTCTTTTGCGGTTAATTGAAAAAATGTTTGATAAATTTTGAATAATTTGAGGTTTCATGTATTAATCTTGATTCAATTAGTTTCAGCTTCTTGTGGATTCTTCATGGTTCTTATATGTTCTGTCTTCATCTCCCTGAAGTGTATGGAAGTAATGGGAAGACAAAGGAACATCAAAGATTACCTTGGTTGATTCAAAGAATTGAAGGAAGCGGACAGAATGGTTTTCAATAATAATATCAGAAGAATCAGAGAACACAGGACTGGTTAAATGCTTGCACTCAAATGGTGGCTGAGTTGTGGTCAGCCATTACACTGTGTATGCACATGTAGCCTTACACATTACAGTTGATATGTTTAAATATCTAACATTTATACATATGGTACACACAAATGTTGATGGGCCAAAAGAGTCATCACTCAAGACCCAATGATGGTTGACATTGCATACATAATAATCTTTTGTGACCATAGCAAAAAACAAATCATAGATTATACAAAACATTCACTCAAGTTCCATTCAATTTTCATCCTCCCCTACAACTTTCAGCTTGGTGTTGCTAGTCTTTGCCATGGAGATTTAGGATTTAGGAAGAATAGCACAAGTCATACCGTGCGATGGAGCCCGGGGCCAAAAGAATGTTGAACTTGGCCCCAAGCTGACCATAGCCTCATCACACAATCACTGAGTGATTGTGCGATGACAAGGCCACCTAAGGACTAGGTGGTCAAACTTTAAAAGTAAGGCCACCTAGCTGTTAGGTGGCCTGGCCATTGCACAATCACTCAATAATTGTGCAATGGAGCCCGGGGCCAAAAAGATGTTGAACTCGGCCCCAGACTGACTGTAGCTTCATCACACAATGACTGAGTGATTGTGCGATGGCCTGGCCGCCTAACTGCTAGGTGGCCTTACTTTTGAAGTTTGACCACCTAGCGCTTAGGCGGTCAAACTTGACAGCCCCATTTTCCACTCGATCACTCAGTGATCAAGTGGTTTCCAAGTACCTTGAACCGTCAAGGTCCCAGTTACTGTACCTTTCAAAGTTTGAGTCACTAAATTTAAAAGGTATAGTACCTGGGACCTTAGGTGGTCTAGTCAATGACTGAACCACCTAACTCCTAGGTGGTCTAGTCAATGACTGAACCACCTAACTCCTAGGTGGTCTAGTCAATGACTGGACCACCTAACTCCTAGGTGGTCTGACTCTAAAAGGTAGACCACCTAGGATTTAGGTGTTCTACCCAGCCACCGCACGATCACTGAGTGATTGTGCGATGGAGTGACCACCTGACAGGCCCAGAGTGCCTTCTCCACTCAATCACTCGGTGATCGAGTGGTTTGGAGGCATTTTAGGCCTCTCAGCACTGTGACAGGCCTATTTCTAGGTGGTCAAGACTGTCCGATGGCTAGACCAGCCAAAATCTAGGTGGTCTGCCTTTTACAGTTAAGATCTTAACTGTAAAAGCTAGACCACCTAAGTTTTGGGTGATCTAGCCATCGCACAATCACTCAGTGATCGTGCAATGGCATCTAGGTGGTCTATAAGAAAACGAGTTTGACGAGACACTAAGCTACAAGACAGACAAACAAACAAACAACCTTTATAAGGGTATAAGAGAAACACCTTAAGCCAAGTGTTGACAAGACACTGGCAAAAAAACACTAAAAGTTCTAAACTCAAGACTAATCTAAGAAGGTGATGAGGAAGATGTAAAGAAAACTAGTAGAAGAGAAAATATAGGAGAATTAAAGTGAAAACCGCAACAAACAGTAGTAGAGCATATAGGAATTTGACTAAAAATGAGCTCGACACTACAGAACAACAACCTTTGACAAAGGTTCAAGACACTTTCCGCTTTGTGTTGACAAGACACAGCTGACAAAAATAAAAGTACGAGTTCTAAACTCAACTGACCTGGTAAACAGGTGAGGAAGATAATAAAGAGAAACTTTAGAATTCTTTTGCTCAATGGTAAATTAACAAAGAAAACAACAACAGCACTTAACACACCTTTGACAAAGGTTCAAGAAACTTTCAGCTTTGTGTTGACGAGACACATCTGACAAAAATAAAAGTACAAGATCTAAACTCAACTGACCTGGTAAACAGGTGAGGAAGATAATAAAGAGAAACTAAGAGAAATAGATAAGTGATAACAAGAGAAAAATAGCAAAGGTATAGATTTATGTAAGGTTGTAAAAGTTAGTATAAAGGATTTGATTCATATAAGAGAAAACAATTATTGTAAACCCTGACCTTCAGAATTCTTTTCCTCGCTGGGGAAAAGAATTCCAAAGAGCGAACAGAGCAAGGTTTATGAGTAAGCTGAGCAAGAAGAAAAATTCATGAACACAATTAAATGAAAACAGTCTAAGATAACCACAAACAACCACCCTCCATTCACAAAATCCCGATGCGGAAATTTTATTCTAACACTTCCAATAAATCGAACTACAGTACATAATTTACCTTCCTACTTTTTAAACATGCCCACATCTTCTCAATTAATTTCTTCCCAATTCGTTTACCCTTGAAACACTTTCTTGAGTTGTCTTAATTTTGTTAAGTAATGTCTTCTTATACCTCAGTGGTTTTGACAATGTTAGCTTAATGGAGTTTTTACTCCAACAGAGCAACCTTTCAGTAACATCCTTAATTAATAGATGATAAGGAAAAATGTTGGAAAAATATACTCTTACCTTTAAAATCTGATTCCTCGATGAGGAAAAAGATTTGTAAGGCAGAGGGGAGGGGTTCATAAGATAAAATCAAACAAGCACACACAAGAACAGACAAGAATTGAAAACTCATTTGTAAAACACAACTGAATAGTACTACCCCTAGCAAATACGAATGCAGAAATGTTCTTCTACCAACATCTTCACTTTCAACTACACCACACATCTCTATCACTTCGTACCATTTTAATAAAACCCAATTGGTCCAGAATCATTTACTGAACTCAGCCTTGAGGATTTTGAAACAGTTG